CGGGCGCAGGGGCCGAGTCCGGAGGGGCCATGAACGGGGGGAGGGGCTGGGGGAGGGGAGCTGAACCGAGTCCAAAATGGCTCCTGAGCCGCGGCCACGGAGCCGAGCCAGCGGGGAAACCCGGATGTTGGATACAAAGAGGCGGGCGAGCTGGGCGGGGAGGGGGAGGGGAGGCGGGCTCTCCGGCCGCGTGGTCCGCGCCCCCCTGGGGGGCGGGGCCCCAGAGAAACAACAACACGAGGGCCCCGCCCCAGCCCGCGCCCTCTGGGAGAACGTGAGTTTCGCACCAGGGTGGAGGGCTAGGCGGGGCGTGAGCGCGTAGGTGGCGGGATTGGGCCTCGGAATGCCATGGCCACTGCACCCAGGATTTGTGCTCTGCGCGCTCGAGCCGACGCTCCTGAACGTACGCTACCCTGCGACCTCGGAGTGGGTGGACAGCCCGGGACTCTGGCCCAGACTGCCCTCCATGCTTCTGATTCCCCACCTGTGCAGTGGGGGGTCACAGTGAACCATGGAGAGGCGTATCTTTATTGATGGGAGAATTAACTGTCAGAAAAAGGCTGACTTCTCTGAACTAACAAGTGATCCGCCACATCCGCAGTCCCACCCCACACACGAAGACACAGCTGGGAATCCCGAAGAGTGATGATTTAGACCCATCCAAGTAAGGGAGGACCCGGAGCCCCGCCCCGCCCCGCAGAGCAGCAGCAGGTGGAAAAGGGCCTCTGGCAACCTGCTTCCCCACCCTTACCCCAAATGGTCCTCAGTATTCTCCCACTCCTTCAATCTGCACCGTCAGAACTTCTCAGCTGCCTCCAATCCCACGCAGTTGAAGATCTTGTCTAGGGAATGGCTCTGCTGCTCTCCTCAACCCCAGGTTTCTCCTTGAAGGGATAGGGTACTGTAGTTCTCATCTCCAATTCCACCCTCCTTATTCATACAACCAATTGCTTGGGAAGAACGTAATGGGGCTCCCAGCTGAAGAGGGCAAGCCCATCACAGATCAGAGATGAGGTTGCGAGATCGTCATACAGTAATCGTCCTCCGGTTTCTCTTGACTTGCCACAGCCTTGCTCAGAGCAGGGCAACAGCAGCCGAGAGGGAGGTCGCACCCGGAAGTCCGAGTCATTTCATTTTTCTGAGTCTCAGTTTCCCCATGTGGAAAGTGAAAAGGTTTCACTCGTTCAGGGCTTTTTAAATGACAGAAACCTATTCAAGCAGAATTTTATGTAAAAGTTTACCATGTAGATAGAACGTTTATTGCCCTGATTGAAGTTGAAATGAAGGTCAGCCACCCCTAGTCTCCAAAGCACCAGGAACACTTCAGGGACCACACTTTGGAGTCACTACCCAGACAAATTTCTGGGTCTCTGAGGGTCCCTTCCAGTTCTGAAAAATCTTATGTGGACAATGATGGCCCATCTTTGCCACAACCCCTACGAATGCTATTGTGTGCCAAACAAGAAGCAATGATGTATGTATAGGATACCCTGGCTGTACATAAGGTAAAATACCACAGGAGGCTATGCTGAGAGACCCACAATGTTAGGGAGAGCAAGTCCACATCCAGCGTGTGTCTTTTCTAGGGAGAATTCATTGCCTCCTCCATACTGGAAGGTATCAACCAAAATCTATGTACCAAAAATTAGATTGGCTGCATCCTTTCTTTTACTCCACACAAAGTCAGGTATCACAATAAGCACTCAGGATGGTCCAAGTCGCTTGCACATCTCTGTCTTCCACCTTGATCTCTCTGGGAACTCCAAATATGTATATCCAAATGTCTATTGACAACTCTATTTGTTTTTTGGGTTGTTATTTTGTTTTGCTTTGGCAGCTGGCCAATATGGGGATCTGAACCCTTGACCTAGGTGTTATAACACCACTCTCTAACCAACTGAGCTAACTGGCCAGCCCTGGGCCAACTCTGGGCTGATTCGGCAGCCTAGTAGGCATTGCAAACTTGGCCTAGCGAAAGCAGAATTCCTCATTTTCCCCGTAAATCTACTCTCCAGCCAGTTGTCCCCGTTAGAAGCAGTGGCATAAGCAACCACCCAATTGCTCAGATCGAAACTTTATGAGTCATTCTTCTATTCCTCCCATATCCAGTCTATCAGCAAGTTGGACTCAAAAATATATCCAGCTTCCAGCCACTTTTTCCACATACAGTACCATCACCCAACATCTCACATGTGGACTGCTGCTGTGACAGTGAACTAGAAGGGATCTTAACTGGCTGCCTGCCTCCTTCTTGCATAGCTATAATACATCTACACAGCAACTTTAGTGAATCTTTTAAAAAAGGAACTCATATCACATTCTTCTTACATTGGCTACCAAAGCTCTATGTGTCCAGCCCCTCTTGCCTGCCCCATCTCACCCTTATCAGCCAGACACACTGGTCTGCTTTCTGTTCCTTAGATACATTAAGGTTGTTTCTGCCTTAGAGCTACTGCAATCTCCATTCCCACTGCTGGAATATTCTTCCTCGGATTCCCTTGGAGAGCTGAAATCCATGTTGTTGATTGAGCTCATGGGATTAGCCTCTATCTCTGCCACCACTTTGTTCATGAGCCCATTGAGCTAGTTGAGAAAGGTGATGATGGATATCTGAAAAGCAAGTTTGAGTTTTCTGTTCTTTGGAACTACAAGAGTGCTAAATACTGCATGTGGTATCAGACGTGGGGTGACTGAAAGCAGAAAGGCAAAAAAAAAAAAAAAAAATGTCCACTACAAAACTTATGGCAGTGAGTTCTGCCATTAAGGCATTCTATGTGTTAGGACCACTCTTCCCCCTGGTCTCTCCCTCCTCAATAATCAAGGTCAGAAACCAAGGAATTGGGAAGACACAATTGAGCATGGCACCTTTCAGAGTCAAGCTAATGGAATAAGATGGAAAACTATAGCATTATAATAAGACTTTGTATCTGTATAATCATAATGCATCCTATTAAGGGTTTAAATGCATTAATTTAACAAAATGAACTCTTAAAGTAACCACAATTTTTGTAATTTTATTTGGGGACTTCTTAATTTTAGAAAACAAAAGTGGCCCCAGCCTCTCTCAGCTTCCGAAAGGCTCTGGTTAGACATATGCTATAGTGGTAATTTAGGTACAGAAGCACTACATTAAACAAATTCAAGAGGTTCCATTCACACTGTGTATTGGGGGTGGTGCTACATGGTTTCTTTGGCAATATAATTCCTCCTCAAAATTAATAAGCTTTTTAAAATTTCCTAGACATAGTTTTCAAACTGCTTTATTTCTTTGCCATTTTTTTTTTCCTTCTTGACCCCATACTTCTCTCCCTCTCTTAACTTAATGGTGGCTACCTTGAGGCCAACTAAATGAATTGGCTTGGGTAGAAACTCTCTAGAGAGATTATACTATACTGTGCTAATGGAAAATCCCAAAACCTTAATGGCTTTAAAAAAAAAAAAATTCATTTCTCATTCATGCTACATGTCCGTTGGTGGCTGCCAAGCAAGCTCTACTTGTAATAACTCAGGAACACAGGCCAGCACAGGCTACATTTTGATACTTGCTTCTACTATTGCAGAGACAGGGGAAAGAGAACATGGTCAATTACATGCTGGCTCTTAAAACTTGTATCAGATTCTGGAAAGATGACAGGTTGTTGGCTGCATAGTTTTTTAATCTTTCAAAATTCCAACATCAAAACAGAGCAACTACATAGAAAAAACAGAAAATCAATGTACATTCACTACAAAACTAGGTGACAAAGTTTCCCTCAAAACACTAAAATGCAAGCAAATGGAGACAAACTACAAACTACCAACAGCAATAAAAGCTGTATGGGCCAGCATCTGTGCAAGAAGAAGCAGAGGGACCCAACAGCCTGTATCTGAGAACAGGACCCCCAAATAGCTAACAGGTATTCACTGGAAACTATAGCTCGATTACTTGAGAACAGCAGGTGAAAATGGGAGGGGTTTTCCCCAATCTGACAGCAAGTTAATGCAAAGAGATTCTGATAAGAATAGAAAGAACTAGAACAGTGTGCCCAGTGAACTCTTAAAATTGAACAGCCACAGGGGCCTCCCTTTTTAGGTCAGAGTTCTACATCGAGGAGAAACTGCTAGAAGTAGAATCAAAATTGAGTTGGAAAAGACTTTTACCTCTAGCCATCATGCTAGACCGGGCAGGGTGTTTGCCCTTCTGCCATAACAATAAGAAAACTGAACAACATATAGGAGGCAACTATTTTTGGACATTGGACAATATTGTAATACCTGAGAAAAGAGAAGCAAAAGAAGTGAGCCTTGTGAGTGTCCCTTGCTTTCTGCCTGGAGACAAATTTCAGTCCACAACGCAGTGAGGGGATCCCAAGCAAAGCCTGGCAACTTTGAAGAGTTGTGGAGAACGAGAGATTGGATACCAGGAAGGCTGCAGCAAACTTAAGGAGCTGAG